TTTGAGACTTGGAGGCATATTGAGAAGACCAGCAACGATGGCCGGCATAAAAGAGAAACTTTTAGCCCAAATCCTAACTCAAAATAAGCTTTACAAATAGGCTCCAAACTAAAGAGAAGAAATAATAGTAATTCCATTACCTTCATAAAAATATAAGGAAAGGAGCTCTTTTAGCATCACATTTCGCGTAGATTCGCCAGTCAAATGCATAAAAAATTTCCTTGCATTATACTACAAAACGTTGAGAAGGAAATAAAGGTTCAATAAGCAAGCAGAGCGATACATACCAAAAAATAGCCATAACAGTAATGTTTTCTAATAAAAATTTTGCTAAACTGTTTAAAAGTAAGTAAATTTTAACCAACTGTCTGTTACTGGAGTAGTAGTGTTGAAAAGTTTTGCAAGAGTTATATATACTACAAAAATAAATAAAATTTTAGCTGAAACAGAAGCTCTACGACTTGCGAAAGCGCCAAAATGCTACTTCAGTTAAGAATTCTGTCCAGTGTATTATCACTAATCGCATCGTAACTCTTGACGCCGAAAAGATACCACCTTACAATTTTTATACGCTGTGTAAGACTTATTTCTTTAAAAAATGTTTTTCTTTTAAAAAATTTAAAATGTTGCTTTCTGAGAAAAAGCGTTTTGAATTTTTGTTTCTATTTCAATCCAAAAAAAAGTTTGCTAACTTAAGCGTGTTACAATTTTTCTAAATCTGCAAGCGACAAGTTTCTGAAAAAAGTAGAAATGAGGAAAATTTGTTGCGAACTGAGAAAAATATACGTTTGTAAATGTGACTATTTCGAGGGTAAATTGAATTTTTTTCGCTTTGCATTTTAACTTTGCCGCCAGCGCATTTTCTGAGATAAACTCTTTTGATTTCAAAATCCGGTACCAAGAGTAGCTACAATTGGGCAAAAAATGAAAAAAATCTGAGGGGCTGAGGTGCAGTCTTGTGCGATATGGCATGGAATAGCCCATGTGCTTTGACCTATTATTGCTGCTTAACCTTCACAACCTTTTACTATTGAGTAAACAAGTCGGGTGAAGGTTTGCTAGCAAGTAGCTCTTTATTCGTATACGCTGCGACGTTTAACTGAAGGAAAGAATCAAGGAGGTGTTTGGAAGGTAGTGTTAAAGTGGAATATTTGTAAAAAATGTAATCGCAAACTGTTTTAAGAATTAAGGCCAGCATTTAGCGATTGTGTTCAAAATATGAAATTAGATGCGTTAGTTAAATAGCTGTATCCCCTGCGGATTTGAAAAATTTTTCGGACGGTAATAATAAAGTTTGTAGCTGAGAAAACGGGAGAAGATATTCAAGGGAAAGTTTAAACCGTACAGGGTGCCAAGAAACTCTGTATATTGCTCGTCATTTATAGTGGGCTTTGTCCGCAAGTAACCGATTTTTGCTTGGGTGTATGGTCTCTACTAGATTAAACCGCTATTAAGGCTCGTCGATGAACATTTTGAAAGATGCCTGGACAATTTACAAGATTAATTCTTAACAGTGGAAGATTTTTTTGGAGGTGGCCTTCTGTGGCTTAACCTCCCCGTCAAAAAAGGAATGTGTGCCGAGTGAAGGTACAATCGTTCCGGTATTTACTGATCTGAGAAGACATTATGTAAACTGCTTTGAACAGGAAACTTTAAGACAACAGAAGAGCAAACGGAAAAAAAGTTGGCTAGTTTAACTCAGTAAATAACACTCTCAAGAAACCAAGTTACCAGTAACTATGATTGATCTTTCAAAATTTCAGCTTGTTGCTCTTTAAGAGACCGGCCGTTTGGTTTTTAAGGCTTCAGTTATGCACCTTGTATGGTACGTTTAACACTTGTGGTTTTGGACTGTCAGAGGAAGAGCAAAAGTGATTTAATTTATGTGATAGTTATTTTTTTGGTGTTTAGGTCAAGAATTTTGCAGTGTGGTTGTTGGTTTTTTGGTTTGAAGAATTATTTGCTTCATTTTTTCTAGTCTTTATATTCTTTTCAAAGGTGCCTTGACTTGCTTAAAGTTTATAGAACAGTGGTTTGTATGGTTTTGGATACTGGTACCGTTTACATTTACATACTTTTAAGGCGAGTCATGATCTGTCCGCTGGTACAGTTCGATAATTTGGAAACATCTTATGAGTATTATTATCGAGAAATGGACGGGACGGCTTTTTTGGATCCTCGTGTATTGGCTCAGTATTACCTTATGTATGCTGATGTAGCCCTGAAGAAACATCATAGTTTTGTGAGTATTGCTCTGATTGATAAGCGTGTTTCACTTTCAGGTAGAGGAGCTCTGAATTAGTATGTAGATTTCAGCGTTTTCCCTTCGACATACAGGCAGCTTGTATGATGTTATTTGATATTTGTCTTCTTTTACTGGTAGTTTCCGCTAAGTTTTCCTGAAAACGTTAAGAAGCCTTTTTCAGTTGTGTGTTACTTGATATGTTTTGTAGTATTATACGTTCACGAAGTTCGATCTTGAAGTACCGCTGCTGAAGGCGTTCTCTGTCTTTAACCCAACTGTCGCACTGCCCCTCCTTTATTTATAAGTCTCAGTGGCGTTCTTATATTATGCCGCAGTGGACAGTAGGGATTTAAAATGAGAAGGAAACTGAGATTATAAAGTCTTTGCATCTTTGCGGATTCCTCTCTTTCTGTTTTAGAAATTAGGTCTTATCAAAATTTTCTCGTTGAAACAGCGTTTGCAAAATAATTTTTTGTATGAGTACTTGGTTCTTATAATAAAACATATATGTAGTCCGTTTCATTTCCAATCT